GGGCGTCCAGGTACACACCGGCTCACTCCTTGGCGGCCGCTTATCGGGGCCTGGAGCCTGGGGCTCGCTCGGGCCACTTCGGAGGTGGGGTGCCCCCGGCCTCTCGGCCTGGGGCTCGGTCACTCAGGCGCAGCTGGCTGCCGGCGGAGCTCACGGGCGCGTCACTGCAACCCCCCTGGCTTCTGCTCCGCGGCTGCTGAGTGAGCCCTCATCTGGGACTCTCCTCAGCTCTTTCTGGGACAGTGGCGCAGCTGCCCCTCTGTTGGTCTTCCTTGGTCTCTTGTGTTCTGGGGCCTCTGGATGTCTGGAGTTTTGATCTCCTCCACACCTGCTTCATGCCCTGGAGGACGGGGCTGTGGCCCCCCCACACCCTCTAGCAGATTATTACATGGAGAACCTTTTAAAAAACAAAAAACAAGCGCGTCCATGCTCACAGGTGTACACACGGGTGATCGCACCCACAAACTACACCCTTTTTGGCTCCTACCTCAAAGCACACTGTGTTCTGTTGATCTTATGTGCTGCACAATAATGTTTAACATTTAGTATTTACTGTCATATTCCCATATATCATTGTGATGTTGTTTATTCTATTACTCTTGTTCTCTTCTGCTTGCTTTCTTTTTTCTTTCTCAGCAGGTGATCCAGGTGATTGATATATGCATTTTTTTTTTCTCTGCCCGTTCTGTTGGTTTTTGTCTTTTGCCCTTCCCCATTAACTTCCTAGGACCTGGCGTCCACATATGTGGACATCACATTTTGGGTTATTTAGACCAAAATACTCAATTTTCCTCTACATATCCACTTACAAGGACATTATACTGCTTGTGTTCTATCAACATTTTAAACAAATATCCTCATATGTGGCTCTCATTTTTCTTAGAAACAAAAATTAGGTTTTAAAAAAATCTGGTAATTCTTTGTATTTACATTCATCGGGTCCCAATCAGCCCAAATTTCAAAGAGAAATTAAAAATGCTGCTGTGGAAGAGTTCGGGTCTTAGGAGGTTAAAATAAATTAAACTCTTTAAACCAACGTGCAGTAGTAAAAATCTGTGGAACAGCTGATATAAATCAGTGATTCTACTTTTACTGAGGACAAATTTAACTGTTTCATCTGAAGATAATCTTCAATAATCTGCAGATGACAAATAAACCAAGGAAAACAGCTCTCTTTATTTCTTACATTTATTTTCCATCATACAAAAGAGAAAGTACAGAGTAAACTGGAGCAAACAGGAGGAGAAGGGTTTGTTAGTGATGCTGAGACCGCTGCCACTTCTCTTCATTCAAACCCGCTGCAGAGAAACATGAAGAAAAATGTCAGTCACATCTACAGATTGTAAATAAAGCTTTGTTTGTATCTGATCAACATTTTCATTACAGTGAAGTCAGGTGTTCTGCTTGGTTATGCTATCGACATATTGGTGGTGGTTACTCTCAGAAACAGTTTTTAAACTTGGAGGAAAAATCCCTAACTCTTCCTCGTCTTCTGACCTTTGACCCTACCTGACCATGTGGGCTATGTCCCAGTTGGTTTCAGAAGACAGGGGTCCGAGGATCTCCACGCCCTCTTCGGTGACGATAGCGATCTCGTGCTGAAATGAAACAGAAATAAAATTGTTACTTTCTCCGGATGGCGTCCAGTACACCTGAGTGTGCGCGGCGGTGCGACTTACTCTGTTGTAGGAGCGAGCATCTCTGTAGTACAACACCTTGAGGCACCGCTCCACCAGTTCCCGTGCCTCCTGTTTGGTGATCTCCACCTTGTTCTCCACCACCTCCCTCATCAGAGGCTGCACACAGATTCAACACAGCTTTACTGGCACATGTCCAAACTCAGCACAAACACTCCATCACTGGTCTCCACGGTAACGCTCTAATGCCTCAACTGTTAGTCAGCTGTATGACCACACCTTAAAAACCTTTAGACATGATTAACCTTCTAAAGCCAGCAGAGCGTTACAGCTGAAACTCACCTGAGCCAAGTATGCACCAAAGCCTGTAGCCACTGTGGGAGCCTCATAAGCCACGCCCAGTTTATCCACGTAACCTAGGAAACTGGAGAGAAGGAAGGCGGCAACCTGGTGAGAGAAGAGCTACTTCCCATTTCAGGTTCACCTCTAACAGGTAAACATGCTGAAATGCATCCTGGGAGTTATATACTTCTTTCTTTTTTTTTTAAAAACCGCCGTATCCATGAGCACCAAAAACATAAAACATTAAAGAAACAAAACTGACCTAGAACTAAAAAACAGGCGGTAACAAATACGAATGCAGCTTGACTGGTCTGACCCCAACCACCCCCCCACCCCGAGTCTCACCTCTCCCCGTTGTAGAAGCCGCCGATGACTACGGTATTCCACAGTGGGTTCATGCGGCTGCGGCGGTTGTACATGACGCGGGTGAGCCACGAGTGCACGGCCTTTGGGCTGTAGCTGTGCCCGTCACCTAGCAACTCCTCATCGATACTGACGGAAAACGACACCAGTGAGATGGGAAGGGGGATGTACAAGTGTGTGTATGTGAGTGTGCACATACGTGTGTGTGTGCACGCGCTTACACCATCTGCTCGATGACCTGTTTCAGGTGTTGGTAGTCGGCGTAGTCGCCCGAGGCTCCCAGGATGGTGCTGTTGTTCACCTGTGGAGGAAACACCAATATTAAAGTTGCTGAAACAAGCAGTCGGTCAGCTGACCTCTGCTGGTGGTGGCATCACCTTCATGAGGCGGGAGATGTTCCTGAAGCGAGCCAGAGAGCCATACGAGCCCAGCATGTCTGCGGCGATCACCACCCCGCCAGTGAATTTCACACCAAGTACCGACGTTCCTGTAACCATCGGGTTCCTGTGGAAGGAGGACGGGGCACGGTTACTTTAAACAAGTCCAATGGTGGTGTAATTAGCCTGTGCGATGGAACATGTGAAAACCCAGAGGGCAGAGATCATGTCCTACTGAGAGGACATCTCAGCTGGCCCTGGCATGCCTCGATGTTCCCCCAGATAAGCTGGGGCCATTGCCCCGTGGCTCGACTTCAACTAAGCAGAAGAAAATACCTAGATGCTTTACTGTCTCGATATTTTAGATGTAGAACTTTTATTGAAGTGGTTGTCATGAATTTTTGAACAGTGTGCATCGTTACTAATGCACGGCACAACACACAAACAACACGCATGTTTCTTCGTTGTCTGGACTGTGTGTGTGTATAGATATATATATTCTAACACACATACATTGTGAACTTATATATTTCACAATGCACGATGAAAGGTGTCACACAGTTAAGCAGCATGATTCTGCCTTTGTCCAGTTAATGGTCGTCAATTTTAACTTGCTATCGAAGTCATTCTTACTTTTAGACTAGCCTAATCTTTCTCCTCTTTTACTCAGCTAAGAAACTAGTTGCCAGGAACACGCCTACATGTAACAGAAAATAACTATGCTACCCACAATCCTCTGCTTAAACGTCTGATTGGTGGAGGGCACAGTTACCTTGGAAGTGATAATACACACACACAGTATGATCTGAACAGAAAGGACTTGGCTAAAGGAGGTCAGAGGTCATTCTCATGGGAGCAGTAGTTCATTCGCCTGTAGCCACTCTGATTGGTTAGTTTCTAAAGCATCACTCTGTTGATAAACAGTAAATTGCGCCCTGTGGATAACGCGTCTGCTCTCAGTCACCCACCCGTTACCATGGTGACGTAAGCAGACGCACCCTCAGGATGCTGAAAGCTCTGCATGGACAAGCCTGGCTGTATTTCCCGTAAACCTCCACACTGCAGTGACAGATCACTGACGCCTGTCCTCGAGTATTGCTGCCTGGGTCACAATTTTAACCCTGTTAACTCTGAGTGCACGTCCCAAGATGGCGCTAGTGCCAGCAAACAGCAGTGAAGCTGCTCGAGGAACGGGTCCACCCAACTCAACCAAACCTGTTGTTGAAACACCGCACGAGAGTTCAGGCGGACTCAGGTGTGACCCGCGGGTCTCCCGTCGGCGCTGACGTTACTCAGCGGAAAGGACGGAGAATACCCAGCGTTTAAATCAGTGTAACCCGGCAGTTAGCTTAGCATTAGCTAGCCTCCTCCATGATGATGCAGCACTCAAACCGAAACCCCGGCACCGGGACCGGCCCCGGAGCAGGACCGCGGCTCACTCACAGTGTGTGTCGGACCGGTCCACAAGCTGTGCCTGCCCCGCTACTGCTGCTCCCGGGGAAGGAGTAAAAGTGTCCCGGCTTCGGACCGTCCTCCCACAGACTCAACTTCACTCTACCAGACTCCATGTTAGATACTGCCGGAAGTGACGACAACGGCCCTTCTTTTAGGCGATTAGCCGGTTTGATGTCACAGGATGGCGTTTTACCGCCGCCTACTAACGGGAGGAAACAATACAGCGCGTCAGTAGTGAACCTGAAATAAAGTCTTAAAATATTCTAAAACCATAAATTTTAACTGGAATAATTTCTTAAAATTATAATAAAAGAAAAAACAATTAAAAAACCAGCAGTTTACTGGTGTTTCCTGTGTTGCTGCCTCATTCTGATTGTGCTGTTGCTGATTTACCTTTAATTTGAAGATAATGAAAAAGAATATCTTTAAATAGCTTATCTCTGCTCTGATTTAATAACACACAGTGGCAGAGATAAATACTTCAACATCTGTCTTTCCCAAGTCTGAAAAAATGTGAAGTAGATTCAGATTCTAAATGTGAAAAGGAAAATAATTGTGGACGCAGCCAACTTTTGAGATGAAATTCAGAATAATTTAGAAATACTAAACTGCAACAAATACAGACTCAAGAGAATGCTATTTCTGAAGCGCAAAACCTTACTGAGTATAGGAGACGGTGACGAGCCAAGGTTCCAGAGAGGGAGGTTTGCCAGGTTGGTAAGCTGAAGGAGGTGAGATATCTGACCTTTTTTTTAAAACTGTAAACATACAAACACGAACATACACGCCGAAAAGGAAGGAACAAGAGGTCATGGGATGATTATTAACAAAATCAAGTACAATAGTTACTTTTGCAGTAAAAGTTGGAAGCAAAATTGTATGATCCAACTGTACAATCTCACCTAGTCTGCTTCAAGAGCCAAACGATAACACCATTTCTCCCACATTTTCTTCCTGGGTCCTTTGGAGCCTTATAGCACATGTCATTTGCTCTAATGCATGTAACTGTTTCATAACAAAAATAAATAAAATGCCTGTTAAGGGGCATTTCTGAAGCCAGCACTTTGTGATGGCTTTTTTGTTGGCTGCTGACATAACTTTCAGAAGGTATTTATCTGTACTGTTCAAGTGATCTGAAACAAGTTTTGCCATGTTGTGGAAAAAGAATGACCAGTAGGACAAGCGAGAAAATGCCCTGAGCGGTGCAGTAAAACAATGGGCTCAAACGCCTTTTCCTCTCCTTCAGGGTCAACCGCAAGCACCGACTCTGCATGGGCTCCACTGGTGGCTGAAGAGAAGAGTGGGCGGTGTGGGGACGGACAACAGAGGTGAACTAGGTGCCTTATGGGCCTTGTAGTTCTTTTCAGCTTCCCTTTGCCTCAGGCAGTTGTCAATCGTGAAAGTAAGGGAGGTTAATTCCTCAAAAGAAGCAGGTTCACTGGTCTTTCATCTGGTCATTTAGTGCCTGCAAAAATACAGCCCACTGTGATGGTACTCATAACCATTCAATGATCATTGATCAATGATCATGGCAGTTTGCATAGAATAATCCTTTAATTGTCCCACAAGGGGAAATTTGGTTGTAACAGTAGCAAAAACACACATATACAAAAAGAACAGGACACAGGTGAGAAACACAACTTTAACATATTTACATCATGGACAATAGTTACCAAAGCAGAGTCCTGTACAGTTATTAAAACTAAAGTACAGATAAGTGGCAAACAGAGCAGGATACTGAAAGATGTTTAAAGATTTAAGAATATTTAGAATAATTAGAAAAGTGCAGATTGTGTGATTGTACCTGTGCATTAAAAAGTAAACGTGTAACTTCCAAAAAGTTAGCGTATATAAGCTGAGAAAAGTAATATGCACCTATAACAGTAGCAGTTGTTCGGTTGATTAGTGCAGTTACAGCGCTGATGTAAACATCTATGCTTGTTGGGAGCAGTTCTGATTGTACAGTCTGACAGCTGCAGGGAGGAAGGAAACGCTCCTTCATGCATCGAGGATGCAGCAGTCGGTGACTGAAGCAGCTCTGCAGCAACACTTACATGGGGTCATTCTTCAGGTCGAGGTTGGGCAGCAGAGGCATGTTGAGGACCGTCTTCCTCCTGATGCCGCTGTAACAGTACGTTTCAGCGGGTTAAGGAAGGCTAAAGGTTACTCCTGGCATTCCTGACCTTAGACTGGGTTCGGGTTTTCTGCACTTTTAATCTGAAAGGATATTTGGACTGTCCTCGGCCTCCGAGCCGTCTCGCTTTGATGTTGGGAAAAATGTCTCTGATGATCTTCCCAAAGTTGGCGGCGCTCAGAGGACGCTGCTGCAGGTTCTCACAGTACCTCCTGCAGGACAGACAGACGCACAGTCAGGAAAGCATCGGAGCGCCATGGCAACCAGATCTATGTCAAACCACCCTTGTTACAGGGTCACTGTGCGTGTGTGTGATTTCTGACTTGTAGGTCTCGTAGACGTCCTGTTTGGGCAGGCAGGTGTCTGAATGCTCCTCCAGGTGACTGCGGATCCAGTTACAGGTGTGAAGCTGGTCGGCCGTGTTAAATGAACTCGAATCGCTGCCGCTGAGAACACAAATTCAAGATTTACAGAGGTTCACCGTTTCTGACAGAAAAACGACGAATCACAAACTATCAGGATAAAAAACAAAGGAGCAAAATGGAGAAGCAACGTCACCTTTTGTCTCCAGAACTCGGTCCAGAGGGCAGCTGCAGGTACAGGTACAACTTGTCATTGTCAGAGAAACGCTGAACATCTTGCTGTTGAAAAAAACCCCACAGTGAATGAACCAGACCTGAGGTGAGCACCAAACCAGACTTTAACCTCACATCAAGTTTCTTACCAGGATCTGCTCTACTTTGGTCTGAACGTGTTTCCTGTAAGAGGACAGAGGACATGCTGATCAGATCCATCACGAACACCACACAGGGACGTCAGAGCTTCAGAAATTCTAATCCCCATTTTCACACACAAACACTTCCTGCTTCATTGCCCTCACTCAGACTTACGAGATGTTGCTCTTCAGTTTCTGCAGCAGCATGCTGGGCTCAGTGTCACCCTCCCCTGTCTCCAGACCGCCCTGGCCCCTCCGGGAGGCCTCGGCCCGTTGGTGACACTGGTCCTCGGACATCAGGACCAACTAACCAATGCTGTGAAACACCATCTGAGAGAGACACACAGGAAAACGCACACTGTAAGGACAAAGGCTCTGCTGTGCGTATTGCAGCCCACTTGTCAACCGATCAAATTGTGTCATCCACGCTCAACAATGTGCAGTCAGGATCTTGGAAGACTGCACGCGGACCCCCCACCAATAATGTACATGGACAGACACATTTAAAACCAGCCTGCCCACCTGCAGTTCCTCTGAAGTTCAGCAGAGGGGCCAGCATAGGGTCAGTCCCCACAGACTCCCATAGCTTTCCAGCAGAACTAACCATGTTTAATAAAATATGATGAGACACTAACTGTGTTGAGGAAACAGTTTAAGAACTAATTTGATCAGCTTTGGCCTAAAAATCAACAATTAGTTACTAGGACATCAGGCAGGTGTGGCTCTCAATGCAGTTCACAGTCCTGCTGCAGTCCAGTGTTGGGATCCAGCAGGCCCTGAGGTATCACTGCTGCCCAGGCACATACACACGCACGAGCCCAGCTGAACATATTAGTGATGGGATTTCCGGCTCTTTTTAGAGATCCGGCTCTTTCGGTTCGGCTCACTAAAAAGAGCCGGCTCTTTCGGCTCCGAACCGGCTCTTCAGGTTGTTTTGTTGCTTTAATTAATTTATTATTAACAATAATATAAAATTATGCACAAAAAGAATTACTAACGTAAAACAAAGTGGTTTTATTTATATATGTTTATATATAAATATATGCGGTGGCCCCTAGAGACAAAACACGTACAAACTCCGAAAAACATTTCTAGCATGAACTGAACTTCCAAAGCAGAGCTACTAGATCACTTAAATTACACAATTGAAAGCATGTGTGTATTGTTTGTGTATTTATACACAGGCACTCATATATATTCAAATAATTAAAAAAAAAGTTCATTTACCTGTTACTACACCAAATCCGGTCGTTGGTACTTGCTGGCTTGTGTAGCCACAAGATACCAAAAGCTCCACACTGCGCCCAGCATCCTGGAGCACTTCTGTTGTCTTTTGTACGTGTTTTGAGTTTTTATGTGCTTCTGAGTTTTTACATGCTTCGGAGTTTGTACGTGTTTTGGAGTTTGCACATGCATCAGAGTTCGTACGTGATTTGAAGTTTGTATGTGCTTTGTCTGTAGGGGCCACCGTAAATATACTTTTATTTATTCACTCCACATAAAATGTAATAAATAAATCATATAATACAAAAATCAACTATTCACATTTCAACTTTTAACTATTTAAATTTTCAGCTTTTTCCTTTTACAAATTTAAAGTGAAAACAACACAAAACACTTCAAACCACAACCCAATTAAATATAAATTAAAATATCAAAACAAAAAGAACATGCATATTCTCTGTCATATGGGCCTGGATGAATAAACTTTCTGAATCCTTTATCATCTGCAACCGAAAATAGTTGTGGATGATTACTATACCTTTCTAATGTCACGTTTTTGTCCCTGGCTCTCTTTCTCTCTCTCTCTCTCTCTCTCTCCCTCTGGCTCTGTTCCTGCTACTGAGTGTAACTACCGCCCCTCCCCCCTCTGCCCAGCATAAAGCACAAGGCTCACGTGCAGGCGAGAGAGAGAGGGTGAGAGAAAGAAAAAGAAAAAAACCCACGTGACGGCTCGCGATAAGGAGCCGGCTCGCGTCGTTCACGTCAAAGAGCCGGCTCTAAGAGCCATTTCGTTCGCGAACGACCCATCACTAGAACATATTACTCCGAAGCTAGCGGGCTAATCCCGTCCTCCGCGTAGCTACCGGAGGCGGCCCAGACTCGGTGGCTGAGTTGTTCTGAACAGATGTTAGAACCGTTTCACGACTGTCATGCGTGCGTGAATCGGCTCCCGGTTAGGATGCCGGTGATGTTCCGGATAACAGACATATACGGGCTACCTGCATGCTAATCATCATAGGGTGGCTCACAAGCTAAGCTAGTAGCTAACTGATAAGCATTAGCTAGTAAGCGCTGAAACAGCCCGTTAAATCGTTTCAGCGCGATCTTTCTCATTTCCAAATAATTCTTGATAATGATACATAAATTCTGTTATTACTGTATGATCCAACAAGCGAAGCCCGCTTCACTATTTATTTTAAAAAAGAAAAAGAAAGTACCTGAGCCAAGATACAGCAAAATTCCCCTTTTCAGATTTTTTTGTGATTGGACGAGTTTGTTATGTCTGCCTGACTACAAACCCAGCGTCTATTCCCATTGGTCAGTTCTCAAAAATCTACCCAGTCACCAAAAGCAGGTTTAATCCTATTCGTCGAGTAGAAATGTTTTTAGATCAGAAATTAATTTGATTGGAAGCCTTTTCCTGGTTTGCCCAGTTACAAAATAGATAAATTTTTCTGTCAAATTCTGCATAGCAACAGCGAAAGCGAAACCAGCTAATACAAAACGTAAAATTGACATGCATGTAGAAATGTTAGGAAGAAGCAGGGAGCTCAGGTTCTCCAGTCTGAAATGATCATCTAATATTAATAAACGGAATTCTCATTAACCACATAAAGGATATGGTTAAATATTATCTCTAATTGCTTAGGGTAAAAAATCTGTTTTTTTGCCTACAAACCCCAAGAATTTTATTGTGGATAAAAGATTAATTAAAAAAAACACATTAGAATAAAGTCAACCATTCAAATGCCATGCTATGGTAAAACTATGTTGAACAGCTGATGCAAATCAGTGATTCTACTTTTACTGAGGACATATTTAGCTGTTTAATCTTCAAGGAAAACAGCTCTTTATTTTGTCACATGAATTTTCCATCATACAAAAGAGAAAGTACACAGAGTAAACAGGAACAGACAGGAAGAGAAAGGTTTGTTAGTGATGCTGAAACCCCTGCCTCTCGTCTTCATTCAAACGCGCTGCAGAGAAACATGAACACAAACATTAGTCACATTTACAGATTGCAAATAAAGCTTTGTTCACGCTGCTTACATATGACTGCTCACCCAACCATCCAGGCTGTCATGTTGTAAAGTTTGCAGACGACACAGCTGTGGTTGGTTGCTTCAGAAACGATGAGACCGGCTATAGGAAGGAGGTGGAACACTTGGAGGACTGGTGCAGGAAAAACAATCTCTGCTTAAATGACAAGAAGACGAAGGAGAAGATTGTGGACTTGAGGAGGGGAAGACACACACACACACACACCCCTGCACGTTGGAGGATCTGCACTCTAAGTAGTACCCAGCTACAAGTACCTGGGTGCGTACCTAGATAGCAACCTTACCTGGAAAAACACTTCCAGCCTGATCAGGAAGGCTCACCAGAGGCTCTACTTCCTGAGGCAGATGAGATGCGTGGGAATCTCCTTTTACAGATGTGCGGTGGAGAGTGTTCTGTGCTCTGGCATCAACGTGTGGCACAGAAACTGCACTGAGGCAGAGAGGAAAGCTCTACACAGGGTGGTGAAGGAGGCAGTGTCCCAACCATCACAGACATATACACCTCCGGATGCAAGACGAGCTCAGGGAGCTCAGGTTCTCCAGTCTGAGCATTTTATAATAACTGAATTCTCATTAACCACATAAAGGATGTGGTTAAAATATTTACACGATCTCAAATTTCTTAGAGTAAATAATGCTTTTTCCCTACAAACCCCAAGACTTTTAATGTGGATAAAAGACTAATTCCAAAAAGTAAAAAAACAAAACCCCCATTAACCTCTTTAGAACCTGGCGTCCACATATGTGGACATCACATTTTGGGTTATTTAGACCAAAATACTCAATTTTCCTCTACATATCCACTTACAAGGACATTATACTGCTTGTGTTCTATCAACATTTTAAACAAATATCCTCATATGTGGCTCTCATTTTTCTTAGAAACAAAAATTAGGTTTTAAAAAAATCTGGTAATTCTTTGTATTTACATTCATCGGGTCCCAATCAGCCCAAATTTCAAAGAGAAATTAAAAATGCTGCTGTGGAAGAGTTCGGGTCTTAGGAGGTTAAAATAAATTAAACTCTTTAAACCAACGTGCAGTAGTAAAAATCTGTGGAACAGCTGATATAAATCAGTGATTCTACTTTTACTGAGGACAAATTTAACTGTTTCATCTGAAGATAATCTTCAATAATCTGCAGATGACAAATAAACCAAGGAAAACAGCTCTCTTTATTTCTTACATTTATTTTCCATCATACAAAAGAGAAAGTACAGAGTAAACTGGAGCAAACAGGAGGAGAAGGGTTTGTTAGTGATGCTGAGACCGCTGCCACTTCTCTTCATTCAAACCCGCTGCAGAGAAACATGAAGAAAAATGTCAGTCACATCTACAGATTGTAAATAAAGCTTTGTTTGTATCTGATCAACATTTTCATTACAGTGAAGTCAGGTGTTCTGCTTGGTTATGCTATCGACATATTGGTGGTGGTTACTCTCAGAAACAGTTTTTAAACTTGGAGGAAAAATCCCTAACTCTTCCTCGTCTTCTGACCTTTGACCCTACCTGACCATGTGGGCTATGTCCCAGTTGGTTTCAGAAGACAGGGGTCCGAGGATCTCCACGCCCTCTTCGGTGACGATAGCGATCTCGTGCTGAAATGAAACAGAAATAAAATTGTTACTTTCTCCGGATGGCGTCCAGTACACCTGAGTGTGCGCGGCGGTGCGACTTACTCTGTTGAAGGAGCGAGCATCTCTGTAGTACAACACCTTGAGGCACCGCTCCACCAGTTCCCGTGCCTCCTGTTTGGTGATCTCCACCTTGTTCTCCACCACCTCCCTCATCAGAGGCTGCACACAGATTCAACACAGCTTTACTGGCACATGTCCAAACTCAGCACAAACACTCCATCACTGGTCTCCGCGGTAACGCTCTAATGCAAATGTCAATCATTTCTTGGAAGAACTGCTCTCAGATACTGGATAAGCAAAAGTCTTTTTCAGGTCATTGAAGAAAGCACCATATCGGGAGGAAGCAATAGGATGAAAAGTGAAAAATGCTTTGGCCCACAAAAGCGCTCTTCCCCTCAGTAATCTCCCACCTTAAGAAAGCTTAGTGGCGTTATCAGGGAAAGAGTGTGACAAGCAGCTTAAGGCTGGGGAACATTGTGATAAGAATCCCCCACAACATCCCAACTCGTGGTTTAAGCAAAACACTGTTGCTAAGCATGCCCACGACGTCGACGTCGATGGATGGACCGTTGGACAGAAGGACATTTAGAAGGATGGATGATGGGCGGGTGAACAGTCGAATGGATGGATGGAAGGATGGACAGATGGATGATCGGTGGGTGGATGGATGAATGTTGCATGGATAAACGCTTTTATTCCAATTTATAGACCACACTGAAACACCTCGAACCTTCACAGGACTTTTTCCCTTGACATTTCTTCCCCACGGATGTTCTGATATCCATGATCTCACTTTGAAATCCATCAAAGGACCAAAGTGGATACCATAGTGAGCCGGCTCTGGATCTCAGCCTACGTGATGCTGCTGATTTATCTGCTTTTGTTTGTGTAATGAAACTGTCGTTTAAAGAAATCAAAGAGAGAGTTCAGGCACACACTGACAGGATGCTTTTATTCATTTCCATTTTTTCTCAGTACACAGAACTCCTGCACAGAATCTCTCACTTTGTGCCCACTTGGTTTCACAGGTGCGGCCAGAGTGACACAGGCTGCTCATTCTGACTGCTTTTATGTCTTAAAGCTGATGAAACCTGATCACATGATAAAAAGTTGATGTAGGATTGTTGAGGTTTTTGTGCTCATGTTTAGTCCTGTGATGACTTCAAGGAATCATGAACATCTCAAACACGAGTCCGACTGAGAATAAGTCAATGAGCTCAACAAAAATCCTTTGTTCTCTGTGTCGTTTGTGGATCCTCCACTGGAGCTCCTGCTGAGACCTCCTTCCACATGGAGCTCTGAGGCTGATTCTGGTCACAGGATGGAGGACACACCTCAGAAGTGCTGATGGCTTTATATGGCCTAATGCTTTAACCTGCAGCAGAGCTGTGAATAAGGTTGCAGGTGTCTCTTTATATTAATAAAATTATGTGTGTGTATGTGTTAGTCACCGTAGGGAAATTACTCCTCTGCATTTTCCCATTCACCCAGTGAAGCAGTGTGCAGGGACGGTACTTTGCTCAGGAGTTCCTCAGGGTAGTCGTTCAGTGGAGTCGAACCCCCGACCTTCCAACCATGGGGCAACCACTCTACCTACTGAACTAGCCTTGCCCTAAGAGAGAGAGCGCTGCAGTGGAGTAAATAAGCCTGGCCACTAACCATAATGCAGTGCACCTGATAAGAGCTGTGTGAGACTGTACAAAGGTGTAACGATGTGCTATGTCTATACATTTGCATTTACAGTAAAGGCAAACTCACAAAGCTACACTAGTTTCAACTCGTCTTAATCCAAGTGTGCAACATATTATCATTTGTTTGTCTTCAGTTCTAGTCTAGTATATGTTCTTCTTCGTCTCCTTAGTTATGAGTCTTTTCCTGTCCTGTGGTCTGTCTTGTCCTCAGTGTTTTACTTTCAGTTGTACGTGTGTTTGTGTCTAATTGTGTGTGTTCTAATGATCTAGTTTGACCTGCTGTTTCCTGTTTTATTTGGAAGAGTCTGGTGTTTCCATGGCTGTATCCCAATTCAGGCTCTGCAGCCTTAAAGTACGCATTTCAAGGCCGATTACGTCACAGCGGCGCGACGAAGGCTGTCCCGATTCAAAGGCTGCTCGAAATGCGGCCCTCAAATGCGTCCTTCATTTCCCTGAATTTTAAGGCTGTGGCAGTGTAGACTTTGTGGCCCAACATATCCCAGAATGCATAGCGCGGCGGTGGGTGTGGATAAATTTGCAGAAAAAAACGGCAGATGAGGGGCGCCCGAAGAGTGAACTTTAAGTACTGAATATTATGTCACTTATTTATGTGCAAATGTTTAATAATGAAGAACATTAAACATTGCTGTTGGCCACATGTCGGCAAAGTCATGTGACATCAGTGACGTTTGTACTAACTTGGTTTTAAAGCCTTTACTTTAAATACACGCCGTTCAATAGCTGAGCTTCATCTCACAGAGAATGATCAAAGCTCATGTAGAAACAAACAAATGAACAAAAGATTTTCTCCTTCATCTCTGTCAAACACAGCTGTATGACACGTTTCCAGCTGTTAGTATCATGGTTGCTTGGCAACCTGGGCAGCACAACGGAGGCTTTTTTTTTAAACTTTATTGACAAACAACAGTATCAGCGCAACGGAGGCTAGACCGTCCCATTACACAAGCCTCGCACTTCCGGCCTTAGCGGTCTTTGAGTACGCGGCCCTTGAGGATCGTTGAGGCTGCAGAGCCTGAATTGGGATACAGCCCATGTTTAACGGGTTAAGTTTTACTTCCCCTGTGGTGTCATTATGTTTATTCCTGTCAGCTGTTTCCCCTTCACCTGATCACTTCCTGTGTGTATTTAGCCTGTGCGTTTTCATTCAGTCTGTCAGTCTTCCTCCCTCCACGTTACCTCAGGTTTAAAGTCTTTCATGATTCTGTTCAGGGCGTGTTCATGTTTCCTCGCGTGCACCTGTTCAGAATCATGTTCGTGTCACTTTGTCGTAGTCGTCACAGTTTAGCTTTTAGTTGTAGTTCTCTCCCCCTCCTTTGTTTTTGTCTTCATGTCTTCAGCCTCATAAACGCTTCGCCTTTTGTGTAAACTCAGCTCCGTCTCTTGGCGTGTCTGCACCTGGGTGCTCCTTCTCACTCCCACATTCAGAAGTTAGGGAGATTGTCACAGTCTGTGGAAGTGGACGATCTCCCTAACTGGGTCCGATGTCCTACAGTTGTTTGTGGCGGTAAGCACAGACCCAACCACATATTTGCACTTGACACACGGTTGCTGATACAACACCCCTGGGCTGCAGCTTTTAGCAACACGTGCAGAACAACAACAACTCAGGACCCTTTTCATTCTTCGTATACATGATTGATAGGTTTGTAGCTTGAACCTATTCGCTGGAACGTTAAAGACAATATAATTACACAGCAAAGCAAGACACGAAGTAGGCAGAGTTCTCTGGTTTACTCAGGCATGAGGGAGATCCGGCTGGAGCCAAGTGTCGTCCCACCACTTGACCTCCGTCAGAGACTCTCAGCCAGGCTCCCCATAGCACTCCTTTTATTGTGGTTACATGAATATGCATAGGGTCATTAACATGTAACATCTTACATAGGTATACATGTGAACAAAGAATACTGTGTGTGTGTGTGTGTGTGTGTGTGTGTGTGTGTGTGTGTGTGTGTGTGTGTGTGTCCAAGATAGCTGGTGCCAGGAGTCTAGGGCTCCATCTGAACAAAAGGCTCTTATACTTAAAGAGATATACGTGTGTACATATATCAGAAAGAGAAAATACAACCTCTCCTAGGAGGAGGTGTGTGATCTATGCCAGAACACTCTGTAGAGGAGTGAACGCACTCCCCCCCTCTTCATGCTTACACAGAGTTGTTACAGACCTAGGATGAGACATTCTTTCAATCTACAAATGATTATATACTTCTAAGCTTAAATGGTTAAATATTTCTAAGCATAAATGACAATCAACAATACAAAACCTAACAATGATGGAGCTGCGGTGTGTCGGTCTCCCCCGCAGACGTGCCACAAACCAACGCCTGCCACAGTGTTAATGTCAGCTAAACGCTTTTTATCACGTGGATCCTGAGAAACAAACAGTACATGTTCTGTCGTCTGAAATACTTTAAAAATGGATGATGTTTAAAAACCTTTGAATCCCGCCGTCTTATTTCTTCCTTTCCTTTGTTTGGACTTTTAAAATCTTTCTTTACTGCTTGATACTGAGCGCAGTTCACCGAGAGGACCTGAGGGGGAGCCAGAGATCAGACAGACTGGGGCCCACGATATCTGATCAAAGGAGTCTTTTCTCCATTTTCTTCATCATCAGAGATGTGATTGAAATCTGCAGAAGGAGCAGACAGATGGTCAGACAGCAGGAAGAGACGAAAACAACAGAAACAGGAAACAAGCTCCTCCTCTGACCTCTGACGTGGAGCCTCAGACACTTTGCCCTCACGACTCGTTCTTCCTCTTTGATGGTGCACGTATACTCGCCACTGTCGAGCACCGTGGGCTCGCGCAGGACCAGACTGAGGTTTCTGTTCTTACGAGGATCTTCGTCCTCCATCTTTGTGCGGCCACGGTACAACCAGGTCTGCTTCTCCAGACAGTTCGAGCCGCTTTGATAGACATGGACAATCATGGGCCACGGCTCATGACGGCTCCACTCCACAGTGGCTTTTTCTGGTGGAGGAATCCAGGTTTTCCAGGGCAGCACAACATCGACCCCCTCTGACACCTTCACCTGAGGGACTGAAAGGACAGCCGATCAAAGCATCAGACCAGACATTTGATCACAGACTGTATATAAAAAAATATACATATCCACCGTGATGTCACCCAGTTGTTTGTTGACTCCATGTTTTGTAATTTTGGAGCCAAAAATGAGCAGAAGTTTCATAAGTAAATACAAAGTGTTGATAACAGAACCCCGAGGAGCTCCGTGACTGCGAGTACAGCCTCTGGGACGTCCTCCACTTTCTCTTTTTCTGTTTCCTCTTAAAGCTGCAGGCTACCTGCACTATCTTTATATGACGCTGACATCATGTCAAATATTCAAGTGTACACACAGATGTACAGGAGGTCCAAAGGGGAAAACTATCTAAATTGTTTCTGTATCAGGCTGTAAACATGTTTCCACATGGGAGTCTAAGGCAGACCTTCCCAAAGTGTGGGGCCCGCCCCCTAGGAGGGGCGCAGAGCCATGGCAGGGGGGGCGCGGGATGAAAGGGGGAGAAACAAACAAAACGCTTGGACACTGCTAGCACGGCGCCTACAGAAACACAAAGCAGGAGATGAAGCATCGCTGAATGTTTCCAAACCAACTTCATTCTAAGCCAAAGACTACAAAACTCTGGTGAAGCAAATCTGCCCTTTGGCTTCACCTGCACAGGTGCGGAGGTAGGTCTCCCTGCAGGGTTGGTTTTCCCTGCATCTGGAGCAGCGCTGGGCTGTTTAAATCACAGACAAACAGGATCCCACATTCGTGATTTTTAGTTCACAAACACTTGTTGTAATGACTAACTGCTCCTGACATGTTGGAGATGTTTGCTCTTTATACAGTAAAGTTACAGCAGGATACAAATAACATCAGGCTGATCCTGACACGATTTGTTCCCTCGGTTCAAATCACGGACAAACAGGATCCCACAGCTGTTTATGTTTTTAAACCCATTTTGCACAGAGAGGCAATTTTTGAAAAATGTATTGATGCAATGTTGAACATTATTACACAGGAAAAAAACAACTACATGTAAAATAATGACACCGTGACGCCTCTGCCTTTGTAATGGAGGGACAGTAACTGTGTGTAAAACCTGCAGACAGTCAGATTAACAGCATTTTGTCTCTATCTGCCATTCTGCAGTTCATCTCATGTAAACAATAACATGGCCACAGCGTGACGTGAATAAAGGCACATACCTTTGACGCTGCGTGACCAACTCTGTATTCCTCGTCCACACGTAAACGCAAAAAAAGGAGTTTTAAAAAAGTCTCAGTTTTCGGTGATTCCAAACGCCGTTTACGTGGACGAAACAGCTGTGTTTTCAGAAATACCCGTGTAGGTGTGGAGGTAGCCTAAAAGAGTTAGTAGTTTACTTTATTACTACCTGTAATTTATTGCAGTTTACTTGTATTTGCTTAATTGTTTACTAAATGTTTGAGGTGTGAAATATGGAACAAAATATGGGCGTGTGTGGTTGGAGGATGAGTGTGCGTGTGCACGCGGGGGGCGCGAACATCTTTCTTGTAAAACAAAGGGGGGCCCAGCAAAAAAAGCTTGGGAACCACTGGTCTAAGGGGACTGCAGGTACGAGCTTCAGCCCTGGAGCGAGGTTCTTACCTCTGACTTCCAGCCTCAGTCGTTTCTCATCCAGCACGACTTTGCCCCTGCAGAGGGTGCAGAGGTAGGTCCCGCTGTCTCGTCTTCGCGGTCGCCTCAGGGTCAGACTGAGATCTCCTGATGTCAGCGGGTCCTCGACCATCTCTGTACGGTCCATGTATTTCGCACCTGGTTTGCTTTCGCCGTTTGAGTACTCATGAACTGTGATCAGTTTGAAGCCAAGCCTGGAGCGCCTCCACACCACCGTAGCACCGACTGGCAGGTTAGGTGTGGTTTTAAATTGCAGGTGAACAGACTCCCCCCCTTCATCCACCTCCGTGGTGGAGACTGAGAAGAACCAAAACCAAAACATTAAATATGGAAGCTGAACCTAAACCACAAGATACACAGAACCAAAACGTAAAACAAATGGAAAGCATACCCATCTTAAAATAATACCAGAAATATGCTACAAAACCTCCGCCAGCAACCAGACTGATGGCCATGACGCTCAGGAAAGCCGTGGCCCAGGTGGGAAACGGTTCTGTTGGTCAGAGAAAGAGGCCCAAATGTGAGCGTGTGAACCGCATCCCTCCCTCTCACCCGTGTCCCCTTCCACTCACTTTTGACGTGCTGCAGGGCTACTTTCTGCCTCAGCGTGTCCGTGCCCGTGTTGATGGTGCAGACGTAGTGACCGTTGTCTCGCTCTGAGGGGTACTTCAGGGTCAGACTCAGGTCTCCCGTTTTCAGCGAGTCCTCACGCATGCGCGTGCGTCCGCAGAAGAATTCGTCCTGTTTCTTCGGCAGCTCTGCGCTGCTGTTTGGGAACACGTGGACAATCATGGGGATGGGCTCGGAGCGGCTCCACTCCACGGTGGTGTCGGCAGGCAGCGGAGATGTCGTTTGGCAGGGCAGTTGGATGAACTCGGACCCTTCTGTCACCTCCACCTCCAACATGCCGACTGAGAGGGTAAAAGAAAAGGTGTGCATGACGGTCAGGGTCAGGTTAGTGTGAGGGGATGTCGGCCTTTTTCAAACGACTTCATCACAAACTATCATTATGTCCATGAGTTTGTTCAACATTTAGTTTTGTTTTGTCAGTTCAGCACAGATTTAACCAGCTGCTCCATGTTGTTATTCTTGGACCCTAGAGCAGCTTTGCTTGAGAGCCAGTTCAAGATCATCCTTCTTTATCTGATCCCAGGACTCGGAGCAGCTGAGAAAAACATAGCATGTGGTTCCTGATCTGAAGTCATGCTACTCTTACTTGTTCTCGAGGACCGAATAATTAAAAATTTGTGTCATCCTCAAAAACTGAAAGCTGGTGGGCGGGGCTTCTGTGTGCTACAGTGACCATATGTTAAATGGACAGGTTGTCATTCACAGACATCTTTTCTGTGTTGAAGTGCTTTCTGTCTAACGTTCACACTGTGATGGATGCATGGGTTGATGCAACCAGGGAATTGAACCATCAACTTTTTAATTAGTCCTGTTGACCTGCTGCACTGAGTGAGGTAAAGCAGAGTGGTCTAAACTGTTAAATCTTACGTGCCTGAGCTACTTTGACTTCAAAGAGAGCAGAGTCCGGTGCTGACCTTTGACCTGGAGCTCTACGTCGGTCAGCTTTAGCACGTCTTTCTGCTTGCTGATGATGCAGTCGTAACTTCCGGTGTCAGACAGCTTGGGTTTGCTCAGAGTGAGGCTCAGGTCTCTGGGGTCCGCCTCGTTCGCCCTCATTGCCGTGCGCCCACGGTAACGCATGTTCTGACCATCCGGCTCGTCTCGGTCTTCGTGCCGCCTGTGGATGGCGCTGGGATCGAGGTCAGGGCGGGTCCATGTCACTGTGGTGTCCTCTAGTAAAAAACCTACCCGGCAGGGCAGAAGCACAGACTCCGCCCCCTCGTACACTTCCACTTTTGCAGCCAAGGCATGCTGGGAAACTGGGACACACGCACAACAGTGTTTTTTAACTTTGCTGTCACTGTTTGGGAGAGAGACAGAATCTACCAAAATAAAACAGGAAGTGCACTTAAGACTTAAAACTCAGGAATGAAGTGAGAATAACCCCATTAGGGGGTAAATAAGCGAGAGAAAAAACTGAAAGTAGACTGAACAAAAATAGAGCTGAACAGTGCAGGTTAGGAGCTTTAGGACCACAAACTGTGCGTTGATTCCTGATAAAAGTCTGTCTGAGACCGCTGTGATCCAAAGCTGCTGCTGAGACAGCAAGAGTCAGAGATAACCCACAGCTGCCCACACTGTCTTACCGAACACGAGGATCAAAAAGCTCCTCATCTTCCTTGAGTAAGTGTCGTTTTAAGGGCTGGCTTTGTCCAGAGTGGATCTATAATGGTGACAGGTGGCTCGTCGCTTCCCCAGCAAACAGAAAGAAAAACAAGCTCCAGAGAAGAGGCACCGGGAATGTGAAGATTCCAGTCGAGCAGCTTTCTGCAGCAGCAAAGAGGAGAAATCGGAGCGCCCCGTCCACAAAGTGCTTTTGTTGTTTGTGATGGATCAGTGAAGGACGCATAAATTACTGCAATGAAATATTGTTGTAAAGAGACAGGGAGCTGAGACGGAGGAATGAAGAGGCTGAACTGGGCGGTGTTGCAGCTGCACAGGATGAGACTCATGATGAGCTCAAAGGGAGGAAGAAAAATCTTCACTTGTTTATTCATATTTTACATTTATAAGATTCATTTTCAGTTATCAGATGCAATACATTCATTTCAGTTCAGCTCTGAGTTTTAATGACTGTTTGCATTTATAACCAATCAGCTTGTTCCATGATTCTTATGGAAAAATCTGCAAAGAAATCTTCCTGAGGGAGACAGTGCAGTGAAAATGTTCGAGTGGCACTAAATAAAGAAAGAAATGATCAAAGTACTGGAAATACTGAAGTACATCAAGTTGTTATTTAGAAATGTTCCACTTGTATATTATTGAAACTATCGTCTGATGCACAAAATGCACTACAGGATAGAGACAACATAACTATTACTGTGTTGTTGCTAGGCTTTCATCTCAGCACACCACCATACAAACATTCACTCGTGCATTCATCACTAGGTCCATTCAGCGGGCTCAGCGCTCCGATGGCCTCGCCGTCCTGCCTTTCAGACACCTGCACCTGATCCCAGAGGGCACGAGGTCACGCAGGGGCAACGAGACACCAAGCGCTGACCACGTCCTCCAGAGACAGCCGAAGATCTTTTGTGCTGTGTTAATGACCCTCTGCAGGTTTTTAGTGTCTGACACTGAGCAACTGGCATATCAGGCCACGATGCAGAAGGTGAGCACGTTCTCTAAGATCCCCCAGGAGTCTCAAGGAGGACGCTCGCCGAACACAGTTAGGGGAATGTGTTTCCCTATGACGTCAGTTACAGTCTCCTCCGTTTTGATGGTGTTGAGCAGAAGGTTGTAGTCAGCACGACATCTCGACAGTGTTTAACCTCTTCCCCGTACGCAATCTCGTCTCCTCCGCTGATCAGGCCAACGGCCGTTCTGTCGTCACCAAGTTTACTGATGGTGTTAGAGGGGAAGGGAGGTGTGCGATCATGAGTGTGCAGGGCGTAGACACGAAGACTTAGCCTCGGGTCAGGGTGGAGGAGCAGGCGGTGCCAATGTTAACCACCTGGACAGGAAGTCCCTGATCCTGGAGGGCAGGGTTACAGTGTATATAACTACAGCATTTATATGTTCTGCTCATTTATAAAGCAACTCCAAAATTCTCAGAATTATTCATTAATGATAAGCCACCAAAGTATCCTGTAAATATTTGAAGCTTTTCATTCTGAGCCCCTGCCAGCAGTCCTAACCAAAGCACTGGTGCAACAGACTCACACATGCTCCTCCTTCCCTGGGATCTTTTAATGTTCTCATGAAACAGTAATACCTGAACCACAGTGACACACATGCAGCAGGTAGCGACCTGCATGCTGCAGTTTCCACACCTGCATGTCTACTTGTACAGTCATAGTTGCTGTGGTAACGGGGCGGGCCTCTTGTTGCACCAACAAATCAAACCCGCCACACCTCTGTTGTCCTGTTGGCTAAAAGTACAGCGAGAGACGGGTGAGGGAGGGGCTCAGGTATCAGAGTTCACTCATAAACTCACTAAAGGCAGGTGTGATGTCATCAGGTGAGCCTTCAGACACACACACTGACTCTCAGGTGATCTCAGCTATTTACCTTGAACCCGTCTCACCTGTCTGACTTCACCTGGCCGTCGTCTTTCTGAGGACTCGCTGTAAGTCTTTTCTGACTCTCAAACTTTTCTTTATCACAGGAAGTCTTTTTCTGCTTAGACTTTTATTTTGTAATGTGTTCTTTGTCTTTCCTTTGCACTGTTTTTGTTAGATAACAGTTGTGTCAATAAAGATTATTGACCTGAGCCCAGAGTGTTTTCTCAGATCTTAATGCAGCAACGTTTCAGCTGATTCACAGTGTGCTGACGGTTATAATGTTACAGAATAATGTTTTCATGAATTCCATGCTAAACACCAGAAATGTTAGCTCGTTTAGTCTTGATCTGGCAGCAGGCTCTGGACTAACGCGGTCTCACTGATCCTCAGCAGCAGTAACAACATGGAGTCACGAGAGGAGGAGCCTGATGAGGAAACACAGAGGTCAGAGTTCATTTCAGCCTTTTGATTTCCTTCAGTTTGAAATGTAATCAAACAAAATCATTTAACAAACAGATACGTCCAGCTGTAGCGTCGTTATGGCCAGGGCTCCTGCTCCTCTGCAGCCAATCAGAAGAACAAGGGCTTTTAGCGAGGGGAGGGGCCCTAAAGAGACGATAGAGCTAGCTTCAGTCACAGTCTGAGTCACCTTTAAAAACAACAGCTGGGACGTACATATAAAATAATCAAACACATAACAACAATTTAAGAAAATAAGAAAAGCCTAGTGAGAAATCAGACAATCGAAGCAGTCAGAGGTCATCCTGATGTAAAACGCAGAGAGTAACAGTGTGTTTCAGACAGGTTTGAAACATGTGTGATGTCAGGGAGGTGGAGATGTGAAGGGCACTTTGTTCCACAGTTTTGGAGCAGACTGAAGACTGCTATTGATCACAGACAGCACACTCTGGGCCTGAGCTGGTTGCTGTTGTTGTTGCTGTGTGCTGCTGTAAAGCTGCAGTGTTAGAGAAACAGGAAAGTGTGTCAGTGTGTAACTCTGTGGCCGGGTCATGCCACAGTGGGTAAGAGTGAAATTTAGGCAGCATTACTGGACGAGAGAAAAAAGAATAAACAGAAGTAAAGTATCGCTCAGTGTGCTTCTGTGTGCAGATCATTTCTGAAAGCCAAAGCTACCGAGAGCATCCAAGCAGCCAACAGCTTAACAGATGATACGACCTCTACTAGCACTGCGACAGCTGTGAGCGCAACGTCTGCTGCAGACGGTCGATCAGGTACTGACAGAGCCGTCAGGCATGTCAGACACTATTCATGTATTCAAATACACTCACGTTCATTCATGCTGACCCACTGAGATCCAATATGTAGAGTTCATTCAAACAAATGAACATCATCAGTGAAATTAATCATATCACCAAATCACACTGCTGTGTCTATTACTGAAGGAGCACTATCGCTTTAGGAAAACTCAAACCTGAATCTGCATTTCTCTGCAGACGACGAGGAAACGGGTGACAAACCGCTCATCTCCACGCCACGCACAGAGCGGTCAGAGGGTATGGAGAACAAACGGTACGTCCTGGTCTCAGGCCAGTCCCTGTCATGAACTCTGTGGTGTTTTTGGTTTTAAAGATGAGGAGGAGGAAGAATGTGGGGGGCAAATATCTGTTGGAAATGAGGAGGCTGAACAAGGCAATGCGTGTAAGGAGGATGAGGAAGACAAGGAGGGTAAGGAAGACTCATCCAGTTGTTTTTCCTTCAGATGACATTTTCTCTTCTCAACATATTCACAATTTTCCAGCAGATGAACTGCAGCAGGTGTCTGATGTCCAGCCAGGTAACTCTGACAGCTGCTCCTTTATTCCTTTATTTTCTTCTTCTTCGGAGGTTCCTCTCTGATTGTTTCCTGTGTTCTGTCAGGCGGTGGCGACTCGGAGGATAAATCACTGACAGCCACGAGACAGAGACCGGGTACGCAGACAGTTTGTTGTTTCTGAGACGATGAACTTTTCTCTGCTCTTTTGATGCCACAAGAAAGAAAAATATACGAAAGCAAATACGGTGATTCAAAATAAATACATGTGTATTACAAAGTCATAGCTTAAAGCTGCGCACAGGAGGAAAGCAATAATAAAATATTAATAATGAAAAAAACATCAAACTCATTAAGGAAGCCATCAAAAATATTGAAATCTAAAATAAACCATAAATAGCAGTATGTTACTGTAAATACATACAGGAAATGAAAAATAAAACAATATAATAAAATAAAAAATAACAAAGCCTTTAAAACAATAATATTTTGAAATGGCTTCATACATTTTCAGCTGTAATTAAATTAAAATAAACATTTTCATCTCAAACCTTTACAATAATTTTGTGATTCAAATACAAATCTGCAAATAATTCCACTTCCCAGCGACCGGAGGCAGCGTGCACCCACACACTGTGCCACCAACAACCGTTCACACCTATGGCCAGGTTAGCCGTCCACAGACTGAAATCTAGAGCAGAGACAAAATATCAAAACAACCAGAGACACCACCAACAGAGCTGCGCCCATCTACTCCACCACATGGGTGGAGGGAGTGGGCAACCAACAACAATCACACAGGATACGATATTGTTCATAAACCAAAGCAATGCCCCGACGTGCCCAGTAAAAAGATCAGAACCAGACCAGAGCTGGACTGGAATCTGCTCCCCTGTGCACCACCAAGTCATCACTGTTAGCAAGAGCGAGCTCCAAAGACGGTAACTTAGCCACTGCAGGACCGCATAACTTCTTCTTTGTGTTTTTTGGTGGTGCATTATAGTGATGCGCGAATCATGAACGAATCGTTCAGTACTCGAGAATCACTTTACTGACTCATGAATCATGATTCACAAGCCCAACTGACTCAGTGAATCAAATGACTCAAAAAATGCGATTCACTTTGGTGAGTGACTCATTAAAATCGATTCAGTAAAAAGAATCAAATTTACCATCACTAGTGCATTACTGCCCCCAGCTGGCCTGGAGTGTGGAGAGGACGCCGCTGACTGGCGTAGCTGCCTGTCGCGCCTGTTCAACAGTTGGCAGGAATAAAATATCTTTTTTTTTTTTTTTTTTGGAATAGGAATAAAATATCTAACTACACAGAAAATGAGCAAATGCTTTGCAGTCGTTTCGTTTTTCTATACACTGAAGGCAAACCTCCATACAATGAATTCCACTGATTAATAGAAACCCAAGTTCAAAGTCTACAAACCATACAGCTCTAAGACTTACGGGCCAATCACTTCCTCCCAGTATAACAAGCGTTTTCACTGGTCTTTGAATGTTAAGCATGTACATGTTTTGGTAACAATGCTGGTTTAACACAGCTTTCAGCCTTTTTCTCTTAACCATGCACAGCTCCAAATAACTTTTCAGTTCCTGCCAGTTATT